GTGGGGGTGGGGGTGATGGTGGGGTGGTGTATGGTGGTGTGTGGTGGGGACGTGGGGGCAGTGTGCATGGTTGTGGTGTGTGTGGTGTGGTATGGGGGTGGTGTGGTGGGGGAGGGTGAGAGTGGAATGGGCGGGGTGGTGTAGTTGTTATGGTGGTGTATGCAAGGGTAGTGTGGTGGGGTGGTACTTGGAGGTGGGGGCGGTGTGGGGTTGGTGGTGTGGGTGGTGATGGCATGGGTGGTGGTAGTGGTGGTGTGTGGTTTGGTGATGGTGTGGGTGCTGGTAGTAGTATGGCTCTTATTAGTGGGGTGGGGGATGGTGGGGGTGATGTGGGAGATTGGTGGTGGTGTGGGAAGTGGTGGTAATGGTGGTGGTAGCAGTGGTGGTGTGGGTGTTGGTGGTTGTGGTGGTGATGTGGGTGGTGGTGGTGGTCTTGTAGGTGTTACTGGTGTGGGTGGTAGTGTGGGAGATGGTATTCATGTGGGATGGGGGTGGTGGAGGTGGGGGTGATGTGGAGGGTGGGGGTGGTGTGGTGGTGTGGTGATGTGAGGGTGGTGGTCATAGTGGTGTGTGGGAGGTGGTGGTGGTGTGGCTGGTGGTGTTGGCATCGGATGGTGTGGTGGTCTAGGCAGTGGTGGTATGGGTGGTGTTGATGGTGGGGTGTTGATGGTGGTATGGGGGGATGTAGGTGTTAATGGTGTGGGAGGTGGTGTTGATATGGGTAGTAGAGTTGGAGGTGATGGTGGTGGTGTGGGGGTAGGTAGTGGTGTGGGGGGTCATAGTAATGGGGTGTGGGAGTAGTTTGTGGTGTGGGGGTCATAGTGGTGGTGTGGGAGGGGGTGGGAGTGGGGTGTATGGGGTGTGGTGGGAGTGGGGTGGTGATTGGACTGTTACTCATAGCAACTCTGTGAACAATGAATCTGAAACCTGACCTGTCCTATGGGGTGGTGATATTGTGTACTATAAGAGTTAGAATAACCCATAGCTAACCTTCTAGTAGGTTTTCATAGGCAGAAAATCACAAGGGAGGATATTGCTCATCTTTCTCCTGCTGAGAAAACATGTTTGTTTATTTGTTGGGGTTTTGTTTTAAATAAATGCAATTAAATGCTTCACTCATTGAAGGCATCCAATATGTGGCATCTTTCATTATTATTAATTAAGTGTATTATGTACTTAAAAAGCAAAGACATTTAACTTTGTGTCTTTTCACTGAAATTTTCACAGTAAGTGCTAATTCTTTTTTTTTTTTTTTTAGTAAGTGCTAATTCTTCTTTTTTTTTTTTTATACAATGGTATGTATTCAAACCCTATTCAAAAACTTGATAACCCATGTAAAGCATGTAGGCCACAAATTAGTAGAGAACTATACTAAGTGGTATAGCCCACCGTGGAGTGTGGCCAGTAAGTGCTAATTCTTAAAATGCATTTACTAGAATCAGACAAGGGAAAGACACAGTTAAGATAAGACACAACCAATCAACCACCTAGTTTCAGGGAGAGAAGGGTTCTGGGCAACAACTGCTGGGTATGCTTTCCCCTGGGAAGTTCCTAGTTCTTGCTAAGAAAACTGTTGATTATGGTGAAAGTGGCCCTTCCCATCCAGCCTCAGGAAAAACATAGGTACCCTGCTAGCGGAGACGACTATCAAGCAGCAGTCACCTGGTCTAGAGGAGGGAAAGATTTCCTGAAAGTCCCTAGCTCGCTCAGAGACTTTGTCAGGGAAAGGGATTTAGGGAGAATCATCGACCCCCACTCAGTTCACCTATTGTCAAAGAAGCAGCAGGCTGGTTAATATGAAAAAAAACAAAAGCAAAAAACTACCAAGCCTTTTCCCAGAAAAGCAGATAAGATTGAGGACACAATGAATAATCCAGAGACAGAAAAGTGGAAGAAATATGCTGAGTTCCTGGAGTTCCAAGAACTAGTACTGAAAAAGTTACAAATGTTGAAAGAGTTGAAACCATAAGTAAAAAGCAATAAGATAAGCAGGAAATCATCACAAAACAGAGAGGATACAACCAACAAAGAAAAGTTGGAAATACAATCTAGAAAATCATATTTGAAATGACAGGAATTCTCAAAATGGTGGCACAAAAAAAAGATGAAGATGGAAGAGATGGAACAGAATCAGTCAGTTAGAGCACAAGAACCGTGAGAAGACAGAAGGAAAATGAAGACCACATTAGAATCAAATGGGATGATATCACAAGAAACCATATACATATATGATTAGAATTCCAGAACAGGAAGGTGTGGGGGGAAAAAACCACAGAGAAAATTGTGGTTCTTAGAAGGAATTTTTCCAGATATCATGACAAACAAGCAAAAACACACATCCTAGAAGTTCAGCAAACACCAAACAGACTAGACTTCAAAAGAAAGACATCGAGACATATCATTGTCAAACTTTCCAAAATCAAAGACAAAATACTAAAAGCAATGTGAGGAAAAATAATCACCTGCAAAAGAGAATTCATTAAATTAAATTCTGACCTCTCAGCAGAAACCATTAGACAGAAAAAGACAACGGGATGATACACACTGAAGGGTGAAAGAAAACAACCGCCAGCAGAGGAACCTGTACCCGGCAAAGCTGTCTCAAATATGAAGGAGAAATTAGGTCCTTTGCAGAAAAGCAGAAACTTAAGGAATTCATGGAAATAAGATCACCTACAAGAAATACTAAGGAAAGTCCTTCACATACATATAACAGAGGAAAGCGGATGGACCAAAGTAACCAGCAACATACATAAAGAACACAGTGAAAAGGCAATGACAAAACCGAAGCTATAAAAACAAACAAAAACCCCCTAAATTATCAATAGCCACATTGAATGTGAATTGCTTAAACACATCAAAAAGAGAAAAGGAGTAGCAGAATGGATTTAAAAACTCAAAACCCATCAATATGCTGTCTGTAAGACTGTCTTCTCATTTATGAAACGAGAAGATTAAAAATCAAAGGATGGGAAAAAAATATACCAAGCAAATGGCATCCATAAGAAAACTGAAGTGGCAATACTAATCTTGGGAAAAATAGACTTTAAGATGAAAACCACTATAGGAGGAAGGAAGAACACTATATGATAAAAGGCACAATAATAGATCAAGAGGATCTATCCTTAATTAAGAGCTACACACCTAACGATGTTGTTGTTGTTATGTGCCATCGAGCTGCTTGCAACTCCTAGAGACCCTATGTACAACAGCCCTAAACTCTGCTCTGTCCTGTGTCGATCACACTGTCTCTAACACACTCACCCCAATTACCCCAGTCACTGAATCAACCCAGCTCATAGAGGGCCTTCCTCTTCTGCACTGTCCCTCCACCCTCCCAAGCATGATGTCCCTCTCCAAGGACCGGTCCCTCCTTACATGTCCGAAGTATATCAGACGAAGCTTCAGAATCCTTGCCTCCAAGGAGCCACCCGGTTTAACCCTTTCCAGGATGAATCTGTTTGTTTTCTTAGCAGTGCATGGTACCCTCAGTACTCTTCTTCAGCACCACAGCTCAAAGGCATCAATTCTCCTTCTATCCTCCCTAGTCATTATCTAACTCTCTGATGCATAACAAGTGATTGCGAAGACTATGGCCTGTATCAGACGCACCTTCGTCTCCAGAGTGACATCATTGCTCTTAAGTACTTTGGAGCGGTCCCTAACAGCAGACTTTCCCATTGCAATATGTCTTTTAATTTCCTGGCTACTGGTGCCAAGAGTATTGACTGTGGAGCCAAGCAAACTAAAGCTGTGAACAATCTCAATCTCTTCACCATCCATCCTGATGCTGCCAGTTGGCCCAGTGGTGAGAATCTTTGTCATCTGGATATTGAGCCTCAATCCATATTGAAGGCTGCAGTCCTTGAGCCTCTGCAGCAAGTGCTTCAGATCCTCCTCAGTTTCAGCAAGCAGGGTTGTGTCATCTGTATAACACAGATTGTTAATAGATCTTTCACCAATCCTGACACCAAACTTCTCCTCATAGAGCCCAGCCTCCCAGATAATCTGTTCTGCATATAGGTTGAAAAGGTATGGACACAGGACACATCCCTGGCGTACACCCTTCCCAGTTTTGAGCCATGCAGTGTTTCCTTGCTCCGTTCTGATGACTGCCTCCTGGTCCAAGTATAGGTTTCGCGTTAGCACAATCAAGTATTCTGGGATTCCCATTCTTCTCAGAGTCAGCCACGGTTTGTTATGATCCACACAGTCAAATACCTATACCTAATCAATGAAACACAGATAGACATTCCTCTGGTATTCTCTGCTTTCAGCTAAGATTCATCTAACATTAGCTACAACATCCCTAGTACCAAATTATATACCTGTAAAATAAATAAAACAACAGTTAACAGACTTGTGGAAAGATATAGACAGCAGCAGAATAGTATTCAACTCAAAAGAAACTCAACAAAGGCATTGAAGAAGTAAACGATACAAATAGCCAGTTTGACCTAAGAGTTGTTTTCAGGATCAGGGTTAGGGAAGGGGAGAAAGGAGAAGGGGCAGAAAAAGGAGAAGGAATAAAAATCACTGGGATAGCAGAGGTTGGTGGCTGGAGGGGGAAGAAGGATTGAGAAATGTTCAATGCGGAATTGAAAAGATTGGGGGATAATAGGCATAGATTAATGGTGATTAATTACATAAAATATAATGCATATGAATGATTGAATAAAGCACAATATATATGAATGACTGTATAAAACACAAAGTACTAAATACATTGAATATAAATTATATAAATAATTATATAATAAATAACTTTATAAATTATATGCAAATACTTTTTTTAAAAAATTCAGTTGCTACTTGAAGGAAGAAAGAATGTGTAAACATTCCTCATAGCATTAAAGAATTTTCAGTTATTTGCCATTACAGATAGAACTGCTGTGAACAATCATGTTCAAATCTTTGTAAGGATGTAGCTTTCCTTCTCGGTTAAAAGCTTAAGAGTAGCATGACTGAATCATATAGTTATTGTTGTTAGTTGTCTCTAAGTTGCTCTGACTGCTGATCTTATTTATTCCCAAATAAAACATTGCCAGATTTTGTGTGGTATGCGTGAGCTCATTATTGCATGACTCCCACTGAGATGTCCCCTCATTTTTATTGATCTCTCTACTGGTGACCTAGTAGTAAGAAGCTGTGTTGCAATCCCAAAGGCATGTGGTTCAAATCCACCAGTTGCTCCATGGAAGAAGGAGGGCAATCTCCTCCTGTGTGATTTATTGCCTCTGAAAACCGACTGGAGCTATGGGTGGTTCCATTCTTGATGATATGCAACAACAACTACTACTACTTTATCTTAATAACCATGACATTTTTTTTTTAGAAATTTCTCTCTCCACACCTATTGAGATTGCTTAGACTTCTATTATTTTTTTTACAAAGAATTCTGTTAAGTATGTTGTTGTTGTTATGTGTCGTCAAGTCACCTTCGACTCATAGTGACCCTATTTACAACAACCCTAAACCCTGCCCTATCCTGTGCCAATCTTATTGTCCCTGATACCCCTACCCTTATTACCCCAGTCACTGAATCAATCCATCTCATCAAGG